AGATAGGGACTGTAGGTTTGTTCTTAAGTTGAATTTGTATGTAAGTTGGAACAGGTAAATTTTTAAGTGCAACTCCAGCCCAAATTTTACAAATTTTGGGCTGTCGTGGAAACAAGGGTTGGTGATAAAGCTTCAGTGGGGACACCTTTTTCCCATAACTTTTACAGGAGTGAATTTCCCTTCCTAGTTGTAGATTTCCTTTCACGTTCTGTTGTCTTAAGGACAGGAAGCGAGATTAAATCTTTCTAACGAGAATACAGACAGCAGTAAAAACCTCAGTGACCCAGGAAGAAGAGGCGGGGACCCCTCGTCTGCACGTCTAACAAGAGCCAACTCCCTGTAATGTACGTACGGTACTACAAACCAGACCCAAAAAGGCGGGCACTCCTCGTCAGCACAAGCGTGGTAGCATTAGAACTACCCCTGATGTACAGTAATAGCCTCCGTTTGTAAATAGGAGTCGTATGCAACTCGGGGACTGCCTGTATGTTGTATAGAATTGCCAAAGGCAACACATTTTGCTTTAGTAAGGTAGCACGTGCCTGTCGTAATCCCAGCAATCTGACACCTGCCAGAGTGGGAAAGAGGTTGGTCTGGGTTCCAATCCCAAGCTTACAAACTGGCCAGTCAGCTTTAAACCACAGCTGCCAAACACTCCACAACAGGAGGCCTATAAGACCATAGTGGGTTGATTTAGCTGCCAATGTATACAGTATATGCACCGCCAAAGTACAAACAGTGGTTGCATGAGCCTTCTACTGTGTACAAGTGTTATAAAATAGAATGTGGTTATTACAAGTGTTCTTTTCTTGCTAAGTATACTTTCTCTTCCTTGCCAAGTAAACAGAAACATATATAAAGTTCACATCACAGAGTGCTAGACAGGTCAGCCATTCTCAACCTTTTAAACACAGAGGAACCCTTGAAATAACCATCCCGTCCCAGGGAATCCCTGTAATTATTACTAAATCTATAGTATAGAGATGGTCACTGGGAAGAATGCTCCTTACATTTATGACCATTGGGAAGAATCCCCCTCACTTACAGATAGCTGAAAAGTTAATTGATGGAAGCTTCTGGAGGAACCGTAGAGATTTCACAGAACCCAGGGTGAGAAAGACTGATATAATGAATGCCCACACTAGGGTCTAGTTATATAATTTACAGATTAGTAATTTGACATTTAATGGATAATATAAATCCTGAAAGTTTCAAAATTTCTCTGGTTTGATCATTTTCACCAGATTGTCAGAGAGGTAAAAATAATTCTGCAAATTCCATTTTTACAAGATTTTCTGAAATGTATAAAGACGAATGCTATAGTTTGCTATACCCCAATCCTTACACAGAGGGAATCCAGAAACAAACATTCCTCAAGGTCACGCACATTTTATTTTTTTTGCAAACCCACTTTCATTTTTTTTTTTTCATATAACACTTCACTTTGACATCACAACGTCCCATGTCAACATTTTAGAAACTTGTAGGAACAGGCAAAATAAAATCTACCCTTACTGAGCTGGCAAATTACTTTACATTTTAAAATACATGAACTGTTCCCAATGAAAACAACAGGAAAAATAAGGGCATTCTGCAATTTACTGATCAGAGCCACCCTTGCGCTTCCTTTACACGTGGTGGAGCAAATACATCACATACATTTTGACATGTACGGTGATTGGATGTCAGTGACTTTGTGACCTGCCAATTTTGGCAGGATTGGGCACCGTTAAGGATGTTCAGTGGTACATTCAGATCGCTAGTAGGGATAAAAATCTACAGAAATTGGGGGGATTGATGTGTATAAAGATGTACACATTAGTATAATAGAATGATAAAGGTCAATGTACATTTGTGTTAGATAAAAAAAATGTTTAGTTGCATTGTTTCCAATGGCCTTTTAATTTCTATAGCCAACTGTCACTAGTGACATGCACACTCTATACACAAGTTTCTACAAAGAGGACAAACATACTTGCACACCGCTGTGTATCTCACACATATCCATGTGTTTATCTAGGTTTTCTTGCACTTACCTTGCTTTATAAAATGAGCGATTGACAGGGTCTATGAAAGGCACATTTTAGAAATGGAAGATTCACTTTATCAGGGCTATTCACAAAAGGGTGAAGAGTTTGGAGAAGGCAGGAGAAGTGAACAATCTAGGACAACATAGCTGATCTGGAAAGTGAGCTGAATTTTTCCAATCAGCTATTTTGTCCTAGATTGTTCACTTCTCCTGGCTTCTGCAAACTCTTCATCATTTTGTGAATAGCCCTGATTGTGAATACCCTTGTATAAGTTTGACAAGCTGCAGATGGACAAATGTCAAGTATATGCCCAGCCAAACCTTTTTTTAATTTTGGATAAAATGGGTATGGGTTATAATGGGTTGCTTTTTTACTGGTTTCTGTCAACAGAGGCAGAAATCAAAATGTTATTTTTCTTTAATAGCGCAGGATAAGCCTATATCCAAGTCAGCTTTTTATTGCTTGCTGTGTCCCTGTTGCAGATTTTATCATACTTCCTGCCTGGTGAAACCATCGTAACTGGGACAGCAAGTGAGGAAAAATCTCCATGGGAGAAAATCCACAAAAGTTCTAATCTTTTCCCACTTTATCCAACAGTTATGAAAAAAAAATAAAGTTTGACTGGACTTGTACTTTATAGCCCACCAAAATTCCCCAAAGCCATTCCTTATCAATAGAAGAGGTATTATAGGTCAAGTGAGACTAAACTCAGGAGTTAAATCTTAATATTGTATTTAGTACTTTTACTATTAATATAAATGTATCTTATTTGTGTATCACTCGGCTGTAGATCCTGAAATCATCTCTGAATTGGTGCCGACACTCTCCTTCCTTCTGGAGGGGGGCTACTTTTGTTCCCCATGGTGTTGTAAAGTAGACACTGCTCCAAGCTTGCTCCCGTGATGGGACTACAATCTTGTGTTTACTTTACTAAATTTTATTGATGTTATAGTCCATCACGGGAGTGAGCTGGGATGCGGTGACTACTTTACAACACACACAGGGACTATGGGGAACAAAAGCAGCCACCCTTCAGAAGGAAGGACAGTGTCTGCACCAGTTCATAGATTATTTGAGGATCTACAGCTGAGTGATACACAAATAAGATACAATTATGATAATAGCTAGGGATACACCGATACTTTTCAGATACGAGTGCCGATACTTGGCATTTTCATGAGAACTACCAGGGTTGCAGCTGGGACCTAGCGCTCCACCACTGTCCTGAAATCATTAGTCGATATTGTTCTAGAAAAACTGTCACATGACAATAAACAAAAATGTATCAGTACTTGTAAAACTGTGCTATCGGTGCATCCCTTCATATACATTTATAAAAACAAAACCATACATTAAAAACAGGGATGCACAAATCCCAGAAGCTCCGTGTGTTCCTTACAAATGACAGCTGCCTCCTAACTTTTGGATTTTTCTCTAGTCTAGTCTTGGAGCTGGAAAAGTATCTGTACTTGTACCAAGTACGGTACTTGGTATCGGTGCATCCCTAATAATAGTTAAGGGACTTGAATGCATTTTAAAATCAAACTCCTGAGTTTAGTGTCACTTTAACTCTTTGGTGGTCTGTGTCCCCTATCTTCCCTTCAGTCCAGCACTGTAGCCTCCACAACGTTGCAGCAATCTTCAGTTATCTATATTTTTGAGAGCATCAGATGTCAGTGTTCCCCTCCACATGCTGTGGTTCCATCTTCCAGCCCCTTCATCACTAAAAGACGCAGCACTGAAGCGGGAGTCAGCGGATGAAACCACTGCACACAACAGGGGACACCGGCATCAGATATTACCAGATGTGTTGAATGCTGACGGAATCTGACAGGTTTTACCTGAGGGAAAATAGGAGACAAGAGGCAAGTATAATAGATCTTCTATTATACAGAATTCTAGAAGAGGGGGGTTTGGGGGCAACAGCAGTATGGCTTTAAACTCCGTATTAATACATAATACCAAAAAAAGGTTTAATACGAATCTATCAGCACTGCAGTTGTGTTAATGCTTTTTGATAAGTGTGTGAATGCGTGTATGTATTTTAAAGACAAATGTCAGCAAAAAAATACCTGTATATCTATTAATTGGCGATAGTCTGTAGGCCAGCTTGTGTGTATATCTTGTACATATTAATTGCATTATAAGTTTTCACCGATGGTCAGGACAGGTTTTACACCATCATTTAATTAGAAAACCACTCCATTTATTTGGGTTTGTTCTCATATTCCTTGTATCAATGTCTTCAATGACTCCAAAAAAAAAAAAAGTCTTTACGTCACGCAAGTACAAAAATAATGAAGTCCCGCGCCATTCTTGAAGTTTTCAGGATTTATATACAAAATTGCACCTTTACACAAGTCTCTCAAGTGACATATTTGATTTTCCCCCATCCCATCAGTCAGTTATTCATAGGATAACTTGTATCAAAAGCAATTTAATAAAAGCACTCGTAAGCATTTTATTCCTATCCATGATTGCAGACATTTACAAAAACCAGAACAACATTTGAGTTTACCTTAAAAAATAACTTATTAAGCAGTGATATACACAGCACAAAATAGTTCGGAGAGAAATGCGACAATTTAGAATTCAAACTGTAAACGTGAAAGAAAAAAAAAAACCCAAAAACAAATATGATGGAACAAAAGTCTCTATGTCTTGCTACTTAAGATGGCATGTGATAATATCCTTTTACAATGTCCTGTGGGAATATATATATATTTATATATATATTTATATATATATGTACAGATGATAAGTTGCAGTTCGGCTTAGGGCAATTCTTACATATGCCACTCTTGACAGTTGCTTGAGTTAAAGTTTGGACCCGCTTCTTCACAAACAGGGCAAATGGCAACAAAAAGATCCTTAAGTTAAACGGTACGGGAGGTGGATAGTTGTCCTCGGTGGCAGATCTGTGAAGAGGGCTAACTCACTGCGTTCTTCAGGATGAGACAAGATGATGAATCACACACTCATTGTCATGCTGGGGGAATACTGCAAACAGAGAAGAAACCGGAGGTTATACTCCAGGCAGATACCTTATTTATCCCAAAAACACAAAGTCAAGTAGCTAGTGTATATATTGGAAATTGGTCTTCATAATGAGTTGCAAAAGGGAAGCACGTCCTATAAGATGCTTGGCCAAAAGAGGAAGTCCTTAGGTTCATGCTAGGTGTCAATAGCATGGTGTTGTTTTGCAGTACTAAACATGGCAGGCATGTAGTTGGCAGAATATTTGCAGAAGTGTAGGACTTGGAAAGTGCTGGGACCTTCTATAAGGCAAGGTAGGTGTATGTGACCCCAAGACTGAGCACCTTACATTACACTTTAGGTCTTCTTTTCTTTGCACATGTGAAAACTTTTGAGGCTCTATGATTATTAAATGTAGTTTGATTAACCCTCTAAGATCTGCCAATAGAAGCCCTATCACCTTTCAGCATTAAGACATAGTTTTACAATGGTGTTTGAATGATCAGTCTACCAACTGTGTATCATTTACACAACCTGGAAACTGTCCAAAGGCCAGGAGGTTAACAACGTAAGGGCCTCCAGCTGGTATTCAACGGTCAAAACAGTGTAAAGCTGGCCATACACCTATAGATTATCTGCAGACTTTCTATGGTCAGATGGAAAAAGTGCAACACATTCCTCCATCTACGCTAAACTGTGTGGATGAAGGAATCTCCCACTGGGCCAAGCTGCAGCATTTTGCTAGTCAGCCCTGCTGGCTCCCAAAATACCTGAACAATCTGATTGGATGCAGGACTTTTCTTGCTTTTCCCATTAAGGAGCCAAAGAGCAGAGAGTATAACACACTGTGCCTTAGCATTCTCCACACAGAGAACATGAAAGTATAACTATACTCAAAATTCTAGAAATAGTTAAAGGAGAACTATGGGGTTAAGGCTTTTCCCCATAGTTCTCCTTAGGATAACGGGAGGACACAAACTAGCGCCCTCCCGTCACCCTAAGCTCAGTATACCGCGAGCTGTAGCTCGCGGTATACTGAAACGCCGCAGCTGAAGCGGTCCCTGACAATTATGTCTGGATCTGCCCAGCTGCGTGAGTGACAGCCGGCTCTGCCTATCTAGAGGCAGAGCCAGCTGTACCCGCCCCCTCCCCCATTTGCTCTGCCAGTCAGCGCTGGCGGATCGGAGCGGGGAGGGGGGAATCCAGCCCCTCCCATGTCACGGCAGAGAGCCGTGACAGGATCGAGAAGTGAGCGAACGCCGGTATGTGTTCGCTCACCTCCCGATCTACTGAGCCGACCTGTGACAGTCTCATTGTCACAGGTCGGCTAGAACTATGAGGTGAGTGAAAAGCACTCACATCATAGTTCTCCTTTAAGGGAACATGCCATTCAAAACGATAAACATTGGTTTTGAAGAGATCCCTACAGTGTAACCTAGAATTGTAGAGAATGTTAATTTACTGCAGAATGATATTGAGAGGTTGCAGTAATACATTTTCTGTGCTGTTACCTCATGCTTATCCAACTTTTCCACAGTAAATCTTAGAAGAGGATTTCAGTTTTTGTGACTGTACCTTGACAACAGTAATGTGTGAGAGAGGAGGGTGGGCAGCGTAGGGCGACACTCTACCCCATTAGGAAATTAGCTGCCAGCAAGCATTCCTCCACACAAAATCCTATTTCTAAACCATAACCTCCTCCTCTCTCTTACTAACCCCTCCCATTAACCTGCACCCTAATGATTACAGTATAACTGCACCAATACGCGACCCCAATCTTATACTAACCTGACCCCAATCCAATGAAATGTTCTTAACTACATTGCCTTGCCACTTGTAGAAAAATATTTCTGGCCAAGCGTTCATTCTGATGGTCTTCTGTGTATGAGCAAAATCCTGAAATGATCTTCACACCATTGTTTAAGCCCATGTAGGTCCCTCATTTGGTCATTTATTTTAAAAAATACTCTAAAAATACTTTTTAAATAGAGAAATGGACAAAAATGCAAAAAAATTGGTTTTAGTTTATTTGCATAATGGTTTGTATATTTAAAGAAGAACTCTGGGCAGAATAAACCTTAACCCTTGCAGTGAGGCTATCCCAGCACTTCAAGGGTTAAGTGTTAGTTTTGATCTAGGGTCTAAAATTACAAAGATATACTCACCCGAACCTCAGTCCCACCTAGCTGCTAGACCGCTCCTTGCAGCCTCTCTCTCCCCCTTTACTCTGGTGGTCTAAGGATCCATGAGTCATCGTCAGTGTATTAGACATGAGGACACCGAGGGACATTCCACTGCTGCAGGGACAGGCCTAGCAGCCAGCTGGGGCCGAGGTTCAGGTGTGCATATATATTTGTTTTAGACTCTAGAAGAAAACGAGCACTTAACCCTTACAGTGCTGGGGTAACATCACTGCAAGGGTTAAGTTTTATTCTGGCTGGAGTTAATACTTACAAATATTTCCACTAAATGATTTTCTCCTATTCATCCTGGCAACAGGGACACCAAAGATGCAAAAAAACATACTTCAGTGTTGGATGGTCAATAAGCAGGTGTGTATATTTTACATATCAAGAGCTGTAACTTGCCAATGATCTATAAAAAGAAAAACTACTTTGTGTTTTTTTCCATACTTAACACCTCCTGTTGCAGAGCCCTCCCTCTGTTCTCACAACTCAAGTGCTGCGAGCAAAGAGAAGCTGCTAAAATTAACAGGCAGCAGGAAAGTTTGTTGTGGGGCATAAACTTTCCTTTAATCACCACGCTGGTGGTCACATGATCTCCCACTACTCCATTACCACACCGGTTACAAATAGATCAGGCAGGGTCTCCAGCTGGGCTGTGCAGTGGTCTGCACTACATTAACCCATTAATTCCTAACACTTGAATTCTCACCCTGGACACTTAAACATACCTAAACAAAGCCGAAAACCTATCTTGAACCCAAATGTTATTAGTGCATATCTAACCACATATGCAATATATTGCAGCTTACTAGTCCTTAGATGTGGTGTCTGTATTAGTTTCCTTCTTCTAGAGTTCTTTTCTAGAGATACACCGAAATGAAATTTTTAGACCGAAACTAAAAAAAGTTGTCAGGCCGAAACCGAAAAAGAAATTGAGGACACTCAATCTCTAGAAATCTCTATTTCTGTAGCCCCTGTTATTAATGAACAGGAAGCCTCTATACTAAGTGCTCCTGTCCATTCATAAACTGAGGAGATGGTATCAGTTACTAAGTCCACAATCATGAATGAACAGGAAGTGATGTAGAGCACTTCCTGTTCATTCATAACTGGAGACACAGAAAGCTTATTATGTCCTCAATTATTTACACTCAGATTGTGTTTGTGCTCTGCCTGTCACAAGAGGCCAAGCTCTTCTCCAGCGCCACCCTTTTCAGCTCCTGACAACTGTCCTCTCCCCGCCCGCACCACCCCACTTGGCCTCCTGACAGCCTCTTTTCTCCCTGCACCGCTTGGCCTCCTGACGGCTTCTCTCATCCCCGCACCGCCCCACTTGATCTCCTGACAGTTGGCTTCTCCCTGCACAGCCCCGTTCGGCCTCCTGACAGTTTCTCCCCTCCCGCTGGCAGCTGGGTTGGCTCTGTGTCCCCTCCGATCCCCGCTGCCTCTGCCAACACAGGCGGTGGAGAGCAGCAGGGATCGGAAGGGACACAGACCGACGAATTGGCATTTTGCCCATAGTACCATTTTCGGCTGGATTTTTAGTGCATCTTTATTTTTCCCCCTTTGTTTTCATCTGGTGTTTCTGCCAGTAACACACTTCTCGTCCTAGGACAACCCTGGCTCTGCACTGTATCTATGGAGCAGCAGTGTCATCACTCTGGACTGCAAACACTTCGTTTGAGATTTCAGTTCAGTCCATAGGTACTTTAAGACAAAAGATTTCTGAGGAGATCAAAAGAGTTTTTTTTTGTACTAGCATAAAGTGTACTTAGCCTTAAAAAGTAAAAACTAATGCTGCCGCCACATCCAAGGACTTATAAATGCTTATTTTTTGTTCTTGAGGAATGAGGATAGATATGCTTTAGTATCCCATGCAGAGACCTTACAGTGGCCGGTGCAGAGATTCCAACAGAGGATGTTATTGTTGTAAGTTCCAAGTGACATAGAAAATACTCACACTTTCACTCTGGAAGGGGTTTAAGAAATTTCCACCCATTTCACCATCATCTCTTGGCGTGCCTGGCTGGTTACTCAGACTCATGTTGTTTGGAGAGTTCTATATCCAGAAAACAAGACGAGGTACAATGATATTAAAAGCAATGGAGCTTTACCATTATTTGTATATGTGAAGAATATACAGTATGTACAGACTCTCTACAACCGCATTCTTTTTATATGCATCTATTCCAAATGTTTTAACAGAGCCAGGATATTTGGGTATATCCTGTGGGAAGGATAATGGTATCCTAAAGGTTTTGTAGAGGTTTAGTCCAAGTACTGAAGTAGTGAAGCAAGAGACAGACAACTAGGATTTTGAGAAGCAGGTCAGCTAGGACTGCCTTCACTTTTTGCTTATTACAGGTTTCTTTTAAAGGAACCCTATGTTATGCCCACTCAGGGAAGAATAACAGATTTGCTTCAATTCCCTCCATCCCCAGTAGTTTGCACTTTCCTTTCCTTCACTCACCTGGGGACCTGTGCAGAATTTCAATTTGAATGCACACTTTAGTGAAAGCTTTGTTTGGACATTTGTCTTTGTGTAGAAAGTGTCATAAAGTCTGACTTCTAGGTAAGTTCTTGTTTTACATAACTAACCACTTGCTCCTGGACAATCTTGTTTTTGACATCAATGTTCTGATAAAGTCCAGTGACTAGGCTGCAATGTACCGTTTATGACAGTCTATCACGACTACATAATGATTTAACTAGTACAACTCTTGCACCAGCACACCCTCTATAAACCAGAGTAATGTTTACATTTCCACTCTGGGCCTATTGATTTGGTGCTAACTTTGTCATCACTTAAAGTGGCACTAAACTCAGGAGTCAAATCTTAAAAATGTATTCAAGTACCTGAACTATTAACAAAAATGTAGCTTGTGTATCACTCAGCTGTAGATCCTCAAATCATCTCTGAATGGGTGCCGACACTGTCCTTAAGTCTAGAACGTGGCGCCACAAGGGGGGTGCGCACCGCGCGACACTTTTAGGGTGGCAACTTTTGTTCCCCATGGTCCCTGTGTGTTGTTAAGTAGCCACCGCTCCAAGCTCGCTCCTGTGATGGACTACAATCTCAATACATTGTAGTCCCATCACCAAAGCGAGCTTGGAGAGGTGGCTACTTTACACAGGGACCATGGGGAACAAAAGTAGCCACCCACCAGAAGGAAGGGCAGTGTCAGCACAAATTCAGCGATGACTTGAGGACCTACAGCCGAGTGATGCAGAAATAAGATACATTTTTGTAACCGCACTCCTACTTTGCCTGATGAAGGGACCCTAAGTGGTCCCGAAACATTGCTTGCATGTGACAAGACGCATTTGGATGTTTGACCTCGGTGTGCTGGCGATGTACTATTTTCGCTTGCTAAAAAAAATTAAGGTACAAACAAATGAAAAAAAAAGTTTAAATGTTAACGGTTAATTCCAGTTATTTTATGAAAACATACTCAGATGATTATTTTATAAGATTACTGTAATTGTGCATATACAGACGTGGACACATTTTCTGGTACCCTTACAGCTCACTGAAACAATGTTTCATTGCTCCTAAAAAGAAATGAAATGAAATTGTCTCATGTATACCTGCATGCCTTTGGCATGTCATAGAGCAAAGAAAGTGTGAAAAGAGATAAGTTATTGTTTACTCTACAAAATGATTCTAAAATGGCCTGGGCAGATGTGCTGGTACCCCTAGGAAAGATTATAAATAATTGGATCATAGAGCTATTTTAAACTGTTTTCTGTAACTAGTATCACCCATGTCTTCAATCTTACAATCAGTCAGTCATCCTATTTAAATGGACCAAAGTAGTTACTCTGCTGTTTGGTATCAAGGTGTGCACCACACTGAACATGGACTGCAGAAAGTAAAGCAGATGGTTGTCTAAGGAGATCAAAAAGAAAATGTGGGCCAGCAAGTCAAAGGTAAAGGCTGTAAGACCATTTCCAAGCAGCTTGATATACCTTTGACTGCAGTTTCAAAAATTAAGACGTTTAAGGTCCATGGGAATTTAGCTAACCTCCTTGGATGTGACCAAAAGAGCATGTTCACAGATGAAAAAAATTAAGCTTTTACAGAAAAGTATACCTATTGTGAAACAGGGGGAGGCTCAGCTATGTTTTGGAGCTAATTCACTGCCTCTGGTACAGGGTGCCATGAGTCTGTGCAGGGCATTAAGAAATCTTAAGACTATCAAGAAATTCAGTACGTTTCCCGTACTGCCCAATGTGAGAAAGCACGGTCTCATTCACAGGTCATGGGTCGTTCAACAGAATAATGACCCAACAGTTAAAAGCACCCAAGAATGGCTAAGAACAAAACGTTGGGCTGTTCTGAAGTGGCCTTCCATAAGTCCTGGTCTGAAACCCATTAAAACTATGGAAAGAGCTGAAAGATGCAGTCTGGAGAAGGCACCTTTCAAACCCAAGACAGTTGGAGCAGTTTGCTTAAGAAGAGTGGTCCAAACTACCTTTTGGTGGCCACAGAAGACCCATTAGGAGCTACAGAAATTGTTTGATTTGGAGTGACTACCACTAAAGAGTGTGCAACTGAATATTAGGTAAAGGATCCCATTAATTTTGTCCATGCCGTTTTCATTTGTCCTATTTAAATTATTTTGGTGAATCAAAATTCAAAAGCAAAGTCTGATATGGAATATTGAATAAACAATGATAGATGCCACATTGTTTTGGTTTGTTTTAATGTATTTAAACAGAAAGTGTAAATTCTTCTTTTTTGTAGAAGGATACTAACAGATCTGTCCACGTTTATATATGCACTTTTATACTCATGTATAACTATGTCAGTTCAAAACACAGAGTAAAAAAAAATAAAATGTAAATGGTACAAAAAAAAAATCAATAAAAAAAATAATCAGAAAATAACAGCTAAGGAGTAAAGGAATGAGGGCTATTTATGGCTCACGGAGGGTTAATAAGGTGTTAAATATAACCCCTGTGATCTGGTATGAATGAGCCAGAAAAGTTACAATGAAGCAATAATAACATCGTTTCATTGTAACTCTTCTTGAGAATGCAGTCTGCTTTGAATGTCAGTGTACACATGAGCGGAAATATCTGCTCCTGTGTAAATAAAGTCTTAGCTGTCATTTTGACAGCCAGGAATGCAGCTGGAGAGCTGTGTGAGAGGAGGAGGAGCTGGGTGTACTGCACATGCCCAAAGTAAGTTATTTTACTTGTAGGACGCCCAATGTCTGCAACTAGTTAAACAACCATCAGATGGGATTTAGAACTACAAAAATGTCAGGTAAAACTGGAATTTAGCAAAGAACGAATCCTCTATTTTGTACAGACTTAGATTCATACCAAAGAGCATGTTAGAAGCCCTTTGTACCCAGCTGGTAAAAACATGCAAGTTTTACAGTGGCATTCCTAAACACACAGCCATATTTAGGTTAAAAAAAAGAACATTTTTAAATTTCTACCACAAAAGCACTGCCAGCAGACACCACACGATCTTTGCTTTGTTACTTGTGACTTTCCAAGACTTCATGGTACCACAAACTGCCCTTTGACTGTGCAAAGAGCCTGGCTTAGTGGCTAGTAAAAGCAGTATCAAGGGATACATCAAGAGAAGAGGAGGGCATTTGGCGAAGTTTAAACCATTATTTAGCAAAGAAGGAATACATCTCTGTTAGCCCAGCCAAGTTAAAACAAGTTATCCAAGCTCATTGGATCTCTACGTATGGCCCCATTACACCATTTACAATATGCACTTACCTTGGAAATACTGTCCATGTCCCCTGAGCCTAATAAAAAACAAAGTACAGCAACACATTAGACACACATCAAAACTTCACCTTTACAGTCACAGGTGGACATTTATGAATGTGACACAAAACTTAACGGGATATGCTAATTCTCAGACTAATGACCTGTCACTCTTTATAAATGCTAGCAGAGATCTGTACTTAGCACAGCCTTCAATCTCTGCAGGTCATCAGTGGTTTATAATTATGCATCAAGCTGACAAATTATAGAAGCTTTTATTTTTTGATTCCTGAGAGCTGAGAAAAGGCTAGTGTTAGCACACAATCAAGAGATAATCTGTGCAGAGAACACAGAAAGCTGTAGGAGCCCGGATCTTACAAAAAAGTAACATTAGGAGGGCTGTATGTGTTAGAACTTGACTTTCATCAGTTTTGGCTTAAAATGACAGCTGGCTTCAATCAAAAGCTCTTCATGTGTGGAAGAGTCACTTGGGCTCCGGCATGGGAGATGTTATACTTGACTAACTATTCTAATGTTATCATAAAACAAAATAAATGCCCCTTTTACTTACATATACCGCCCATTTAAGTGTGGTATATAAAGCACTGGGAACTCAGTGTCCGAATTATAAGAAAGGCATAGTAAAATTGGTCTGGGAAAGGGGAGGGGGTCATGCCATCAGTGAGGAGATACCTGCTATATTCTCTATAATATATGTTCAGAAATCACTAACTTTCTTTACATGCAAGGGATGCCAAAGAAGTAAACCAGTCATGCAGTTCCATATAATAACACCCTTTCATCTTTAATAGTTATGAATACTTTCAAATGTGGCAACAGTACTTTAAAGTATAAAAAAAGTGACATGATTAGTTTTTTTAATTGAGAGCAATGTATTCAATACATAAAGTAACAGTAGGACTAGGGGCTCTTTATTATGGAAACACCTACAATATATACGGCCAAACGTAGGTGGACACCTGTAAGTGCAGGTGCACAAAACCAGGTACATAAATACATGGGTTGACACATTTGGTGTTGAGGAGCTCAAGTGGCCTACACAGAGCCCTGACCCGAACCCTACTGAACACCTTTGAGATGAAATGGGTCTTCTCTTCTCACATCATTACTTGACTTAACAAAATTGATTTTTGCTGAATTCCCACAACACCCCCAAAAAGTGGAGGCTGCAAAATCGGCAGAGAAAGTATGGGGGTGTGGGGCGACGCTATAATAATGCCTATGGTTTTGGAATGGGATGTATAAATTCAGTAGCTGCGATGGTCCACATATGTATGGCAGCCAAACCTTATTAGATCTACTGCTGATCTGTACATTGTTTTCCTGTGTTTTGAAAAGCTTCCTATACTGTGGATACATTTTCACATGTACCACTTTTCATACTAAAACTCACCTACAATATCAAATACATAAACGGAACCTACCCAATACAGGAAAGTTTGAAATATTCTGAAATGTCTTTATTCATTATGAGCGGATAAAAGACACAGACAAAATACAGCAAATTACGTATTAGTAAAGTTAATGAGAAACTTACCTAATGAGCCATTTATATGGTGCGGTTCCATTCCCCCTAATGCATTCATTGGACCATCTGATCCAGGGCCCATGGGAAACTAGCAAAAAAAAAAAATGCAGGTAAAATGACTTTACCAACAACAACACCAAAAAAAAAAAAAGAGTAATGGATCAGTGTGCTTTGCACTATTTTCAATAATGTAGCCTTGCTCAGGTTAAGTTAGCTGAAATGCTCTTTTTTTAATTAACCATGAATTAAATTACCTCACTAATCTGATAATATAAATAAATAGTTGTGCCGTCTGCATGTATCTGCCATCTACTGGTGCTTCATAGACCATTCACAATATATGACAATGTGGGGTTATTTCAGCATGTTATTCTTGTTCATTGTATATTGGATGCAATTGTTTTGGACCCTTCCACTGCGGTACAATGTAATTTAAAGGCTGCAAATTAAATCATGAGATCCAAAAGAAAGGCCATGATCACACAGAAAATGTAGTTTAACCAGTTGACATCCGCGGTGTTAAACCCCCTTCCCATCCAGGCCATTTTTCAGTATTCAGCGCTGCGGTACTTTGAATGACATTTATTCCGCCATGCAGCGCTGTACTGAAATTAATTTTATACCGTTTTTTGGGGACACATAGAGCTTTATTTTGGTGGTATTTAATCACCACTGGGGTTTTTATTTTTTAATATATTAAGGAAAAACTACAGATTTAAAAAAAAACAAAAAAACAGTTTCCCCAATATTAAATTCTAAAACATTTATTATTACCAAATTTTTTGGTAAAATATAAAAGATGGGGTCACGTTGGGTAAAGAGACACCAAACATGTAAAGCCATAAAATTGCGCATGCCCGCGAAACCTCAAAAAAACTACATTACCCAAAATTGGCCATAGGCGACGCATTAAAAGCTTTTACTGCTCATCAGTTTAGTGTTATCAGTGATTGATGGCCCTAAAATGATTGCTCTCACTTCGGATACCATCCCCCTATATATTAGCACAGGCACACTGACAGGTCCTCTTTATGGAGACATTAGGGGTCTCTAGACCCCTAATGTCACCTGGAGACCCCAAAAGAAGCTGATGAACCACAGATTTGCTTCATCAGCTTCTTCTCTCTGGCAGTAGGAGCCAGATGATTGACAGGTGAATGCGGAAGTGATGTAATACACATCACTTCTGCATTCACACTACAGAGGGAGAACAGCAAGGAGCTGATCTCCCTCCCTCCTTCTCCTGAAAACCACGGCAAGGAGGTGGGGCAGGAAAAGCAGGCTGCTACAAATTATCTGAGTGGCCATACAGCTGCCCAGATTACTTGTACAAATCGTGCGGCGCCTCCTCTGCTTTACATTTAGCTCTGCAAGGCAAAATGTAAAAAAAAACCCCCACCTGCCCAGCACCCGGAACTGCATGTCTTGGGCTTCCTCTGATAGGAATTGCGCAACCCTGTTTCACGTTTGAAAAGAAGTCAGCAATGCCAGCTCCGATTTCTATCTTGATAGTTTTAGCTTAAAGAAACTCTGTCACTGGGGTGGGGGTGGGGGGTAGGAAGACCTGCTGGAGGTATAAAGTGCAGGGACCTAGAAGTGAATCTCAGGAGATTCTTACAGGCAAAGCTTCGACACTTGCTTAAACCTGACTATCCATTTTTGCCTCCTTGCAGTGGCGCTGCCCATCATAGTGATAAGCTAATAGGAATGTAGGGAGGTGGGGCTTAGCAGCAAATATGCAATCTAAAACTCTTCTTAGCATTATCCTCAATATATGTAGTTATTATTATCAGCCTTTATGTCTCTCCAGGAATGCTACTTATAACTCAGTTCATACAAATGCAATGGTTGTTTCAAGAGACCAACAAAAGGACATTTCATACACATAAAAATATGGTACATTCCTTCATTCTATCTCTTGCAATAAAGTTCAAGGCTAATCAGTAATACAATGCTGACTAGGTGACTTTCCTCTATGAACAGCTCTTACATTAGGTCTGTTGGCGCCAGGAGGAACTGCATTCATTAATGTGTACATATTGTCTCCAGAGTTTGTGGAATCTGAAACATAAATAAACATATGGTATTTAATCATTTGACACCACAAAAGCAATGTTTCATTTTCGCTTTACATTAACAATCTGCTACAGGAAAACAAACTATTGTAATAAAACAATGAATGTTTATCTAGCCAGAATCTTAGTATTACGGTTAGCATTTTCTCCTTTTTCAATCAACTGTTCATATATAAGAGGAGATTGTCAGAAGATATGCTACTGAATGTGAAACGTAAATGACTATACAAGTGAACCATTAGTGTAATAATGGAAAAGGGTGATAGAATTTTCATCTGATCTTCTCTTCATCAATACTGATAGAACAGAGATGGACAGAGATATCCCAGTGGTCCCACATTACGGCCTCACTAAGACACAGAGATGTCTGGACTGCAATTTTTTGAAGCATTGAACCTCTATGTTTGGGGTTGCAATCCTACTTTCTTTACATGACATTGTAAGATCAATAAGAAATGGAAACATTTGTTGTAGAATAAAATTACACAGTAAAATTAACCTGTCAGAGACAATAAACTTTCAGTAGCCAAAAAATGTGGGCCTCTCTTAAACAGGTTTCACTTTGTTACTGGGAATAACTTCCCTGGCTTTAGGACTACATCCCAACAAACGTCACCTCCGTGTCCTACGTCTAAGGCCCCGTTCACATATAGCGACATACCTTTTGCAGCGGATCCGCACGGCCGGGATAGCGCGACTTTCGGGGCGACGTTCCAGCGACGGTAGCGCGACCTTCCCCGTCGGGCTCCATAGAAAAAAAGTAAAATCGCGCAAAATCCGTCGAAAAAAGGGTCCGGTAGAAGCGACTTGCGACCGCGACGAGCGACGCGCGACATGGAGTTAAGACAGCTCCATTGAATAACATTGGCCGGCGACTTCTCGCGATATCGCGCGGCAAAAATGCGCGAAATCGCGCGACAATTCGCTATATGTGAACGGGGCCTTAGTCAGCTTAGCTGGACAGTGGAACGGCAGTTGATGGGATTTAGACTACTAGTCAAGAAAGTCAGTCACAGGTAAACCTGCCTGGGGACGAATATGAAACAGTGTCTTCTCTAACCCCTTCATGACTGAGGCCTTTTTTTTCATTTTTTGCACCCATGTTATATTCCACATTTGCCTGAAAATGACTTAGAAGCCCCCAAACATTATATATTTTCTGAATGCCAAGACCCTATAGAATAAAATGGTGGTAGTTGCAAATTTTTATGTTGCGCAATATTAGCACAACTCCTTATTAAACCACAACATTTAGTGAAAAAATTAATTAAATGCCCCAAAACACAACAAAATACAATTTTTTTTAATGAAATCTAAAAGATGAGGTTACAACGAGTAAAACGAACCCCAACATGCCCAGGTTACAAATTGCGTGCGTCCGTGAAACGGCGAAAAACTGCAGTACCCCAAAAAGTCCATAGAAGACACTTTAAAAGCCCCCACAGGTCATCAATTTAGAGATAGCCCAAAATACTGGCCCTAGAATTATTGGTCTCACTCCGGCGTGTGCGGCGATACCCTTCTACGGGACACAGAAGCGATCTGGCGACAGGTAAGTCGCCAGAATCGCTTCTGTTGTAAAGCCGACAGTCGGCTTTACAAGTTTAAACAGACCCGATGCTGGCGACATACACTGTGCATCGTCAGTCACAAAGGGGTTAATACAAGGTGCAGAAGGGAGATACAAGAACTAAGCTGTCCAGTTAAATGCACAGAACTGTGGTTGAAAATAAGGAATGATCATTACATAGGAGCAAAGGATATATTTGTGGTATATACACATGTGATAGCATCATTGCCAGAAATAGCATAATAGTTTTCCCTTATTTTTTTGTATATTCTCTGAGGTTTTGTATCTGGTACAGATGGGGAACATGGAGGCGTTGGCCTTAGCAGTTGGGTAGGTACTTTCTTTGCTTTTCTACAACAACAATGACTGGAATGGGCAAGATCTTTTCTCTATTTTGTACATGGTGACAGTGTTATTTAGAACATGTAAATGTGAGAACTGTACCTGCTGGGCTGGGCATAATAGGTGTGCCGGGAGGACCACCACCACCAGGAGGACCCTGCAGGGAAGGAGACAAAAGACATTCCATTACCTTCAGTCATAAGAAATGCAGGGAATACAAAATATATTTATTAGAATACATGGAAACAACTACACAGTCTGAGTTGATGATGGCTGGTATAAATGTTATTATTTTAGATAGTGTATAGAATTTTTCCTGTCTATGTCCAATTGTAGAGATATCCCTTTTGTAGATACAACAGGAAGTGAGAGGAAATCTCTCTAAAGTAAGGGAAACTCTCTCTAAGCAGTTGTCACCACAGTAATTGTCCCCACTGGAAGGTTTCTCCTCTACTCCTGTTCTGGTGACACACCAAATTTTTGAATTTCACTTACTTTCAGTCTTGGTTGTATAGTCACTAGGATAAATAGAGAGAGTGAATCTTCTCAATGAGGACATAGACACCAATACATATCTGACAGGGGTTCTTGTCCCTTACCGCTCTATCCAAAACTCAAACAAGTTTTGGGTTTTAGATGCATTTTAAGCCAGGTTTGGCTTAATATTGTTGATGGTGAGACAATCAAAATAGACTGTATGCTGTGCATGTTTTCCCTGTGCTTGCATGGTTTTCCTTCACTCTCCAAAGACATGCTGGTAGGTTAACTGGCTCCTGTCTAGATCGGCCCTGTATGCATGCATGTGAGATAGGGATCTTAGATTGTAAACTCAGATTCATGTGAATGTGCAACTATGTAAAGCGCTGCATCAATTGTTGGTGCTTTATAAATACCTGTAGTAATAATATTAAACAAAGGCATTGTTTACAATTACGTTATCGTTCAGGTTGGGACTTAAGTGCCCTTAGGAAAACTTCTTACTGCCCTTAGGAAAACGTCTTACATTACAAAAACCGCTTTACTAATATAGAAAACTAGTTTGCTATTTACTTCATAAAACAGTAAAAAGTGTGTGTGTGTACATTTTTTTTTTTTAAACTAATGATAAATATGCACGTTGTAAACAAATACATGAAACCAAGAAAAGCAATGCTTTGAGCCTGCACAAGGTTTATGAATGCCCCTTTTGTCTGTTCCTTCAAATATTTTCTCTACCGCTAGGAACTTAGTTTGGATTTTTCATGTTTTACCTTGTGACTTAACATTACTCCGTGTGATGAAAACAAATTTAAAATGTATAAAAGTGGAAGCAATGATCCTATGGGCATAAAAATGTATGGTTTGTTTTTAGGGATTATGTGCCAGTACATTTATTGGTTCCAATAAACTGACCGCATTAGACTCTTCAGAATCATTTGCAGCAATGAGGTATTCAGAATCTGAAGTACCTTTTAACAGTCACACTTATTGCGGTGGATGGTATTATGTAGCTAAGCCCGGCTCTCCCTGCATCTGTGCACAGATTGGTAACGGTTCTTCAAACGAATATCAACATATGCATATTAAACGACAGACAAAACAGCCGAACATGGCTCAGATGTTCACTGTGCACACAATACACAAGGGCTCCTCTTAACATCTGGATAACTATTTCTTTGACTAAATAAAATGTAACATCAATTCCAATGAGCAAACAACACCAGATGAACTTACTACATAATTCCCGGGAGATGCAGATGAGTAAGGTATCTGAAAGCAAATAAAAATCAAAGTTACTCTTTTATTGCTCAGAGACAACATCTATCGATTGGTTTCCTTTTTGTATAATGTTGTTTGCAAGACATATTCTTCTTGTTAGCCAGATTAGTTCATCGTGTGGCACACAAATATTAAATGTTTATTGGCTTATAAGGAGTAGCTGCTTTTATACCAGGTAATAGCTGTGTTGAAGCCATGTCCTCTAAAGATTAAAGCTAAAAATAACACGGAACAATGCAGAAAAAAAGTATTCGGTTTCTGATGGTTTGTCCCGACTGTAAAGATTTTCCATCACTTCCTGAACTGGGGGAGTGAGGAGAAATGTCCCAGTGGGAAACAAACAAAGCAGTAAAACCTGACAAAGTTTGTAACGTCTCTTAACCTTAAACTAATTTAAAAAAAAACAAACATTTTGGCATGAGTTGATCTAGCAAATTACTTTGAAGGGACTGCAGTGGTGGTGGTCTGAGAGTCGTCATAATTACTGTTGGCCATGTGGCAGCATTTCTAAGCTACCGATTGCATTAGACTGTTCTCTGTAGTCTGCCTCCTGTCCAGAAAAGAATCACAACAAAAGGTGTTTTATAGAGGGGTGAGAGGGGCTTAGGGCTATAACCGTATGCTGCAAAATACAGCATGTCCTTTTTGTGCTGGTGTTAAATTCTACAAGTCATCTACAGGTAAAATGCATCAGTGAGCTGTAAATACTAACCAGGAACCATTGCAACTGTGTCAGGCTGTCCATCAAATTTACTTTGAATCTGTTGTTGAGCCAATCTGAAGGCCACACGAAGTTTGGAGGTCTGTAGCTATTGACTCTGCAGACAGTTGGTGACTTCTGCGCACTGTGCGCTTCAGCATGCGCTGACCCTGCTCTGTCATTGGTGTTGTTCCCAGTTGCTTCCACTTTGTTATAATACCACTAAGAGTTGACCCCGGAATATTTAGTAGTAAGGAAATTTCACAGAACACCTAAATCAAATGATTTGGAGGGGTGTCCCAATACTTTTGGCAATATAGTGTGTATGTATGTATATGTATATATATTTTGAGAAAGCTGGTTGGATGACCAGTGAAACAACTGCAAGAAAAATACAGCAAGTCCAGTTGCCTTGACTTATTCTTTACAGATATTCTATAGTTCAGCTCCTTTTTACCTTAGATGTACATTTTTTCAGAAAATAAAGCAGCAATCACCACAGTTCCATGTCATTACCAGGAACAAATTAAAACTAGCACTGGCAGAATCGTTGTTTTAGTGAGATATAGGTATCCTTACTGAATTTGCATTGCCAGGGTTGGGCCACGGTCTTCCCCCTCCAGGTCCCCTATGAAATAAATGAACAAGAATACATCTTTCAGTCCTCAGGCACATCAGGTCATATATGGAACCAAAATCTGCTCAATTCCCACATCATAAAACGCCTCATTCCCAAGGTAAATTATCTGCTGGGCATACATTACATTTAATATCCTGTCCCATCATGTCATTCTAGAGGCAATTCATCAAGTATAGACATGCGTATGATTCCTGCTGCACTCCTCTTCAACTACGAGCTCATTCATGACAGCAGAAAATTAACCTTTTGTGCTTTATGCCCACAATACAGCCAGGATCTGGCACCAATCCTGGATTTCAAGTGTCAAATTCAAGGTGTGTAGACAGCAAACCTTCAGCAGCATTGTTGTATCAGAATTATTATGGGGTATCATTACCACAAAGAAAAGTTATCATTAGCGTTCACAGGAACGAAAATCAGCAGTTTAAACGCGTCCCTCAATCCAAAATGGATATTTGAATTCTTGGCAGATGCTGGAAAGTTGAAGAACCCCTGGCTTTATGTTATCCTTTTAGCAGATAACAGCCTTGTGCTGCAGTCATTATATTGGAGTTTCAGTCTCCCATTTGGACCTCTAACTGATTTTATATTACAAAGAATGCTAAAGACTTTAATGGGTCATGAGTTGAAAGATTAATGGCAGGGGAGTTTGCAAAGCTTGTAATTACAGCGGGGAGATCTCTTATTGGTGTCCTCACCAATATGGTAACATAATATAAATGTATAAAAAACACTATTTAAAAGGATCCATCCACCCAAAGCTACGATTTATGTTATTGGCTGATGCTGGGGAGATGAAGCAGTCAAGGCTTTATATTTTGTTTCTTGGCAATCTGGTGATAAATCCCCCTACTGGTAATGATCTTGGTAGAAACCCGGAGTACAGCCGCAACAGCCATTACAGCATGCAGGTGGGCTGAGCGCTTATACTGAGATCTCCATTAGATTCACCCACCCTGATAAGAGTTATATTATGAACAATGCCACAGACAATATTTATTACAGCATGAGGAGTGCATAATCTCTGCACAATCTCTTTTAGATTACCAAAGCTAAGTAATGCGAGGACATAAAATCACAATGGCAATAAGGTCATGGGTATTTTAGTGGCTTACTTACATGTTCATTCCTGGCATTCCTGGACCACCAAGAGCATTAAGAGGTGGTCGCATCCCTCCTCCATAGCTCTGTAATGATAACCAAGGGTCAGACTACCACAAAACAAAACCGAAGAGGAAAGGAGAAATAAAAGAGAGCACATTAATGACAGCCTAGGGTCTGAATAAACAGAACTATAGGCAGAAAAGAAAAGCGGTCACTGGAGTCAGGAGGCCGGTGTGCTGCCTCTTTACGGATGCCCACATGACTACTGATATTACCATGTGTAACACACTGAAAACAACAGAGGTAGCAGAATTCTGATGCTTAAAACACTAATTTACAAAAAACTTTGCATAGCTTATTCTCCCAGGTAAACTGAGCTACATTACTTCTGTCCGAGTTGCCCAGCTGTTGTGAGAACAGGGCTAAAACAAATTTCTTATTTATAGTTTACAATAGTCTTTATTGTCAGAGCACAAGCCCAGTTTCTGATGGGATATTGTACAAAGACAATATATTCTGATAGGCAACAAGAATCACACTCAAAATGTCAGACAGAGAAGTTGCATTGGGTAACATGGGGGCTTCACTTATCTTCAATAGGTATATTTATACAGAACAGAATGAATGGGCAAAATATCGCATTATGGACACTACAGAAAGCTGAAAAAATAATCCTAGGAAATGATCATAGAAAATAAATACATGTTAGTAACAAGATACAATTCAAGAAAACACTGGAGAGAATGCGCATATAAATGTAACCATTGCTATTCCCAGAGTATCAATAGTTACATTTATCTCCAAAGGTCTCTTGAATTGTAACATTGTATCAACTTACTAAAATGTATTTATTTCCTATGATCCTCAGCTCCATCTCGTGGCCATAATGCGGTATTTTCCCCATTCACTGTGTTCTGTATAAATAACATTAGACCAAAAGAGAAAAATTACACTTTGAAAATCAATTTTTACCCAATTCTTTAAACACCTGCTTAACTCAAACAGAATAAATGTACATACAGGTTCACTGGACAAAGAAACTATGCAAATCTTTTATAAATAGACCCCTTAGTGTAAGAAATATAAATGTAACCAGAGTCCTAGTTTGATCAAAACTGGCCTTCCAAAGAAGGAAGGACACACTACAATTTAAATGTTGCTTAACAAAAAGGTAGAGGTGAATTGGCTAATAATATGACAGTATTGTCCCCTTAGCTGGAAGGTGCAGCGCTATGCCCAGTGGCTGTCGGAAAAGCAAGTGTTACATTCTGTCACTTTCCTCACTGCTCACAAAATTTGCAAATAAGAAGAGGAGAGAAAATTTTGTATGGATTGTTTCTTCTTGGCATACCTCCAACTATCAATCATTTGGAATCAAATCGCTTTTCCTCTTTCCTCCTCAGTTGTCCCTCTTTTTGGTCTGATGTACAGATATCTATGAAAGGTTCTATTTTGCTACCAAAAGTGTTATTTTACACTAAAATCTTTATCCTATCTCTTAATTACCTTGTTTGCTATTTAAAAAAGCCAGTATAAAGGAAATGTAATAGTGAAAAAACGGTTTAACCAATTGATTTTGGTATATACAGTAAATTCTCAATGGTCCGCATAACTGGGGGTGTGGCAGGGGTTGTATCATTGTCTTAATGCATTGTACTGAAAGGCGTCCCTCTTCCTCATCGCAGAAAGTTAAGAGGTATCATTTCTGGTGCCCTGGACTGCTATTCCAGAATAAAGTGGTACTGCTCCTAGATTCACTGAACATAACTCCGATCAGTATTGTAATAGGCTGTAGACATACATGGTGTGATGGCCATGGATACGTACATGTAAGAATACCGCACTAATAAGTTTAGACGAAAGGAGGAGGTGTGTTTCAGGGCCCATTCACACCACATCCAGATCATCTCCAGACCAGACCAGATTGTTTCTGGACCCAAAATGCATCTTAATGTATTCCTATGCTATTTCTGGCCTCTGTTCACACCAGCGCAGTCCGTTCCAGATCAGACCAGAAAAATACCGCATGTCTGATTTTGTCTGGTCTGGAATGCACTGGAACTGCGGCAGGTTCACACCATTTTCCGGACCAAATCTGGTCCGGAAAATAGTGTGCACCTGCCCTAAAGGTGGAAATATAACTTCAATAAGAACAGCTGTTAGTTACTATTAAACAAATGACATACCTGTGGACCAAGAGGAACCATTCCCCTGGGGCCGCTCATTCTCTGCATTGGTCCACCCATATTTGGATGACCTACAAAACAAAACAGATAATAAAATATATATTACTTCATAGTTTTCCACCATTCAGCTTCAAAGGTTATGTTTGTTGTGATATCTTCTTTATGCTTTTTTTTTTCTCATTGCTAACAAACTTAAAAAGAGAGAGTCATCCTATTTTACTTATTTATCATTGAGAGCCTGTTACCCGATGCTTTGTAAAGGAGCAACATGAGGGATCAATGTGGCTGTATTTACACTGCAAATATCACCGGGGTAAATTTTCTTGGATTAGGTTGAAGAATAGGGTGTGCAAGTGACTATTACCTTTTTCAGTAGTATACGAACAGTCCGCACAATCCAGAGAATTCCAATACTTCAGACTTTAATGAAATTCACAGCAAATCCAGTACAAGTATTCCTCACTTAACGACCGAGTTCCGTTCCTACGACCAGGTCGTTAAACGAATTGGTCGTTAAGTGAGGAAATCTATACAGTACTGTATTAGTACAGTACTGTATAGCATTGCAGATGTACAGTACCGAACAGTGTACTGTACATCGGGCAATGAAAATACTTACTGGGACCCGCAGTGAAGATCGGAGGACATCACTTCCGCATGCGACACATCACACTGACGCGCAAGGTCGGAGGTCGATCGGCGGTCCCTCGTAAGTGCGAGTGGTTGCAAAGCAGGTAAGTCCGATGAATGTCTGTATAACATTGAATTAAAGTGTATAAAGCAGCAAATACCAGCACTGCACACCCCCAACCAGCTACAACCTCTCACATGTTTTCACCTGTAGGCTTATTCATAGAGAAGCAGGGAGATTTTTGCACCTCTTTGAATAAGCCTACGGGTGAAACATGTGAGAGGTTGTAGCTGGTTGGAGGAGTGCAGTGCTGGTATTTGCTGCTTTGTACACTTTAATTCATTGTTATACTGGATTTGCTGTGAATTTCATTAAAATCTGAAGTATTGGAATTCTCTGGATAGTGCAATCTGTTCGTATACTACTACATTCCAAGGTGGAGACGCACCTATTGGACCAGCACCAGGGGAGTCCTGATGGCGGCTAAGGAATTGGAGCGGTGAGATTTCCTTTGGCTCTATATTACTTTTTTCAGCCACAATTAATTTTTTCAGGTGTAACAAATGTAGATATTAAGTGTTAGTTGTGCCAGAAATCTCCATGCCAATAATTCTAATATTTCTTGCTCCAAAACTCCCACTCAGAAACACAACCAAGCTAATTTTCAGGAGCCAACGGCTTAGATACCGCTAAAAAGAGAACTATGCTGACAAAGTGGAGAATATCTGTTAACATTATTTCTCCTTTTTTTGTTGCCGGGGTCGATGAGATTTTCGCCTTTAATTCACAGAAGCCTAAAGTATTTATATAATTCTTGGATGTTATTTGCTAATTTAGTGATCACTTTTTTCCTTTTAGTGCAAGGATATGCTGAATTACTTGCATGAATGTTATATTTTTGTAGCATACTGAATTTAAAAAGTAACTAACAGACTATCACATATATTTCTGCTTTAAAAAGGTACTGTTGCCATTGTGGCTGGCATTAACAGCGAGCTTTTTTTGCAGATAGACACAAAAGATCATTTCAGGTGATGACAAAAAAACAAAATATAGAATAATTATAAACAGAGGCTCCCAGTAGTTAATTGATGACATTTACAGACCGACAAATTTGTTAATACCCTTCCATGAAAAACAGAAGAAGAAGCCACAATTTTCTCTGACATAACTTGAAACTGACAAAATTAATTGACATCCAACACAAACAATATTTTCCCAAAAAATTAGACTTTGCATGTGTTCTACATTCAAAGCAACAGAATATTTAAATAAAACATTGTCACTGGTGACCACATAAGGCTACTGTGTTGCCCACACATGGAGACTCTGAATTAGCTATGTCTTAGCTTGACCAGTCTTATTTAATTATTTGATCCTTCCAGTATTTGTAGATTGCACAGCTTTAGTTAAGGGGGGGTTTGGGGTGGCGGGCGGAGAGGGTATGTTATAAGGTGTTGTTGAACATATGTATGATGTGCCCCTGAGTGTTGGTGACATGTGTCTCTTTGTATACAACTACCCCCCTGTCTGTCTTGGTCCGAAAAAACAAAATGGAACAGTTTCATGTTGGCAGACTTGATATGGACAAAAATGATGGGCCCCTTAACCTAATATTTTGTTACACGGCCTTTAGAGGCAATCAAGGCAAACAAGCAATTTCTGTAGTTCTAAATGTGACTCAGCTGTGGCATAGTGATCACATGTAAAATGGAGGCTTATAAGCCTTCAGACTGTAGTGAACTCTGCTATGTCATCTATGTAAACAGTGTAATTGTCAGATACAACTGCATTATTAAAATAATAGCACAGTAATTCAAAAATAGAAAAAACAATGTAAAAGCAGAGTACCAAATAATGTCCTTTAAAAAGATAAAATCGGTTTAGGTATGAAATTATTCATACTACTTTTTATTGTAAAATTAACTAACCCATTCAGGCACTCCTAAATTTGGGCATAAACACCACAAGCAAAAGCCTGAGCTAAAGACATAGAATGATGTGCGCACACTCAGAAGTGAATGGGTCCCAGCTCCTCACCCGGACACAGCAGCCTTGCAACAGTTAGCGGAAGCATCACCTTGGATTGTGATGATGCAGCACAGCAATGACTGAATGGCAGCGTAACTCATATTCTGCGCAGAATGCAAAGAGCGGAGACCGGGATTTACTCAACATACTCATCAATTTCTGTAGAAATGTTTCAAAGCTATGACAAACCCCTTCTAGGCTGGAGTATGCCAAATCAATTCACTTTTTCAGTTTACAGTCACAAAAGCGCTACTGTCAAATACTATTACCTTTTATGGAAATGATTTGTTAAATACTATACAAAAATCAATATTCATTGCCTGTTGTTGTAATAGAGGTTAAACACTTGATATTATGTTTAGCCTTGAATCTTTGCATAAGTAGAGTAGATTAGCCTGATGGTCTGGTTAATAAAATGCATCAGCCGACTCCAGATGATAATTGCAACTAATTAAAATATAGCAAATAATATATACAGTAATTATAGCAAGCGGTTACATCTCATCACCTTGCTGTCTTGAAGGGTCCATCCCACTGGGAAGTAACGTCTGGCTTCCAGGAACACCCCCAAGTCCCTGGATAAAAGAATAGGTTTGTTATACAAAGTAGTTATTTCAAATACAGTCCCGCAATAGTCTTTAGGGAGTTTACATGAGCGTTACCTGATTAGGTATTCTTAAGGGGGGACGTGGACCACCTGGATAACGAGGAGACATGAAAGGCTGAAAAAGAAAAAGTTTAGAACAATTATGAAATTGCAATCTATGCTTCTTCATTTGTTAAGGTAAAGTTATAATCCATATCCAGTGAAAGTTGCTTTATTGGATCTCGTTAGGTTAAATCTCTATTTCATTATATAACCTGCATATAACATTATGGTGTTTGACCCCATTAACAACCATCTTTTTATGGATAGTGTCTTCCATGTAAAAAAAAATGTGAACTCTGATGCGTGTTGAGATTTTTTCCGATGAGTTCTGTTAAACAAATAAGCTCTGAAAATCAAAATCTGGGTAAATCCTACAGAAATCAGCACTTTGAGCTTCCACGGCAGAGACTTTTTGCCATGCAATCACAACTGACGCTGCTTAGGGGACTATCTGCAGATTCCACCTTCAGGAGCAGACTTATTTTATTTTCTAGAGCTAAACCTGTACTAAACAGAAATATGATGGATCCCACTGCTTCTGAGAATGCTAGTTGCCTGGCACCCATACTGTTTCGATGGCTTTAATACATTCCAAACCAATGACCCAGAACAATTATGCAGATTCGGAGTTATGACTTCATAGCTGTATAGTTGTACTAGAGCCAATGACTTAAAGCACTGAAGCCAGAAAGAGCCAGGTAACTAGTATTATCAAAATTAGATCATATTTGTCTCAGTATGGGTCTGTTTAAATGCCTCTAAGCTATGGGAGGCAGAAAAGATTACGGTCTCACAAAATGCTTCAGAAGGCATTAATAATAAATAAATATATATCAATCATACACACGCTGGTGTAAAAGTTTAAATGTTTTTATTTCTTTAAAAAAGTATGACTGCCTGAAGTGTATAAAAATTACATATAAAAAATATTAAGGAGATCATTCAGGGAGAATGTACACACTGTTTTAAACCAATAAGAAAGGTGTCAGTTGTACATGGCTGTTATATGTGCCTAGTACAAATACGAATGTACCCAATCACAGATGAGCTCAGGAAATGGGAAGCAGAGGTGTTGCATGTAAGAACCAATCAGACATTAGTAAACATTTCCTAACCGTCAAAAGCAACATGAACAGCTGGAACCCAATTAGCTGCTGAGGACAACACCCCTGCTTGTTCCGTTTTTCAAAACAGAAGGTCTGGAATTATATGTCCCATTACGTTAACTCGAGTCTTACAGCATTTCCAAACAGCACAGCAGGAAACCATATATTTCATTTTATTTCAAACGAACCCAGACAGATCATCTCCGAAATGATTTTCATACTGTAGTAAACAATCAGTCCCACTAGATGGCACTAGAGTGATGAATCAAAATTCCTTCTTCTTTCTTTTCTTTTTAACCTTGTCACTTTCATTATTTTGAAAAACAGTGTCATTTTGTTTTGTTTTAAAGTATTTTCTTTAATACACATAGGGGTCGTATACTGCATTATCAACCATGATTATTCATCAAATCTAGTTTCTTCACGTGGATAAGAAAATTGGGTAAATTATTTAGATTTCCTCTGATGACTACGGTAATTCCTTGATTCCAGGATTTTTTTTCTCTTTGCAGAATGTAGAGTAAAACCATAGACAAGTTGGACCTGTACCTTCCATAACAACAAATAGCAGTCTAGTAAAAGGACAGTCCAATGACTTTCCTAAAGCTCACATTATCTTGAAATGGTCTGAGACAATGGAAAACTACAAATATTCATGATGCAGGAATCATAAGGTTTCTGAAAGGCTTGTGTGAACCATTTGCAAATGGAGAGGCTGGTTTACTGTGTTCATGGACATAGCGTGTCTGAAATGTACATGGACACTACCAAGGGAGACTAATGGAGGAGAAAGATAATTCATGCCCCATCCACCTGCAATAGCCTACATCCAGCAGTGTTTATATACAAGGCAGATTGATTAACAAAGGCTGAGAGCTTCACTTCCACCAATGACAGCCAGATCCATGCAGTGTTCTTTCAACAACCAATCTATGGCCTTGCAAAACAATAAAACAGGTACAATTTGGGGTTATAAATATTAAAGCTGAACTCTATTTAAAAAAACAGCTAAATAGACAGAAGAAATATATTTCTAATATATATCAGTTCTGAGACTTGCACAGCAGGAGTGGGGACCTGATTTTTCTCTGCTGCAGTTTCACGTTCACTTACATGTCATCTCCTCATCCCACCCTGTGACCGGACAGTGAAAAGAGATGTTGCACATTATTCCCATCCTCCCTATCCCCCCCGCACTCTACAGTACAGGGACTGCAGAAGGCTGATACCAAGTCTGTCTTTTATAATTTGCCTGGAGTTCAGATTTAAAGCCCATCTCCAGACAAGCTAAAAAAAGACCCTTGTAGTGGGGCTATCCCCTACACTGAAAGGGTTAAAGGAGAACTATGAGCGCTGACTGGCGGAATGGACGGGGGAGGGGGCGGGTACAGCTGGCTCTGCCTCTAGATAGGCAGAGCCAGCTGTCACTCACGCAGCTGGGCGGATCTCGACATTGATGTCGGGATCCGCTCCGGCGTCTCAGTATACCGTGAGCTGTAGCTCGCGGTATACTGAGCCTAGGGTGACGGGAGGACGCTAGTTTGTGTCCTCCCATTACCCTAAGGAGAACTATGGGGAAACGCCCTGACCCCATAGTTCTCCTTTAAGTGCTTGTTAATGCCTATAGTACCTTGGTAAAGCACCTTTACTTACTTGATGCCCGCTCTCCTAGTTGTCAGCACTCTGGCTATGGACTGTCCCTCAGCATCCTCACATCTAATTCTATAGAACCTGCATTAGATGTGATAACCTCAGTGGTCCTTACACGCTGAAGCAATTGGGAGAAGAGGCTGGAGGGATCAGCCTAGCAGCCCGAAACTAGGAGAGGGGATCGGGTAAGTAAAATAGCCTTTGCTTGTCCCTTAGCACTTAACTCTTGCATTGAGGGGTAGCCCCACTGGAAGACGAGTTTATTGGTTTGGCCCGGAGGCGGGCATTAAGCACAGAGCATAGATACAAAAAGCTTTTAAAAAACCTGCAGAAATTGTCTGGATCTTCAGCCTCTAGGTCACGAGTCTCATACTCAATTCACTCGGGGGCCACTCAACAAAATGTTTTCTTCCATAGGGGCCGCTTGCCAAATTTCATACTTCAAAATAAAATCTAACTATATCCGGTATGGTACTACGGACACCAATAAACACACAATAAGGCCCTATTCATATCTGTAAGTTTAGGTGCAATTAGGGATTCATGTGTGAGGAACTTCTGTGAACGCCAGATTAGGCATTCCTGCTGCAGGAAAACGCAGACTCCCAACACAGGAATCACTAATCTCACCTAAACTTACAGGTGTGAATGGAGCATAATACACACGCTATAAAAACAATACACCCCCACATATAAAATAATACACTCCCACCCATACACGTAACAAAATACACCCACACAAATAAAATAGTACAACCCCCTTCCCCCACCCTGCACCCCCACATATAAAATACAGAGCCCCCTCTCCTGCTTACCTTTTTGCAGCGAGGAGGTGAGGAGACACGATCCCTGGTGATCCAGTGGTGATTTGTAAGGTCTGCTGCAGACCTTACTAATCCATCCTTTCAGCCAGTGTTCACTGAAGGATTTCAGAGCGCTAGAAGAAAGGATCTGAGTGCAGAGAAAAGCAGCTATGCAGTCTGCATGCGACAGAGATGCAGACCATGTAGCTGCTCCCGCAAGTCAGGTACGCGGTCCGTGACCACGTACCTGACTTGGCAGCTGGCTGCAGGCCACATAGTACTGAACCGCTACTTTGAGACCACTGCTTTACGTGTACGATGGGCAATTACAAACACAAATTTTCAAGTTTGGTTGAAAAATTAGTCTTGCAGTCTGCTCGAGAAATGACGTAATTCAGACATAAATAACACTGAAATCATCCTTTTACTGTGCAGTCGGAATCCAGCACTATGTCTGCCTTGCATTCTTAGATGATTTGGACAATGGACAAATATTGGACCAACAGAGCTGTCCTTATTCACTAGGAGCTCTTCAGTTACAGCAATATGGTTAGAAGCTGCATGTGGAAACATGCCTGTCTTTGCATTCCAAAAATCTGACAGATTTCTGCGTCAGCCCTGCAGCGTATGACGCTCAAGAGATGGCCGTTTGGACAATGAAAAGAATCATTTATCTTACTGTGCGTAAGCTTTGGCTGTTATAAGAATTCATGTGAAAGATTCGAAAAACAGATTTTAAAATTCGATTTTGATCCAAACACTGGATTTTGATGAATTGACTCTATTGTGTACGTAGCCGTAGTAGACATTATATTACACGCTCCACTGGGGCCGGGACTGGTGTCTGTAAAGTATTGGATCATAAAAATAATGTTGGGGCTATGTAGATAATTATAATCAGTACATTTGGTGAAGCTGCTACCTGACTCCAGCTTGTTGAACACAGTTAAATAAGAACTTCAGTTTTAACAAAATAAACTATTTGTAAAATAAGGAGCTGCTGAAAACACTCAATTATTTAGTTATATATCTGGAGCTCCTCCCACTGGACCAGCGCTGACTAGCCGCTGCTCTCCCGCACCGAAGGTAAGTGAAAAAAAAAAAACCCATAGCGCAAACATCGGGGCATTTTGACAAGTACAAGTACTTGTCGAAATGCCCTGTTTTTTCCGCCCTCAGGCGGCCGCCTGACTTGCCTTGCGGTAGCGCCGGGCCTGCCGACACCATCAAAGTGTGACCCATTGCAGGTTTCTCTGTGTTTAAGTCCTTGTTCCCATTTCTCCATAGGGATGGACACTGGCACTCAAACAACACATGGAAACTCTCCTGGTATTAGCAATGTTTATTAATGACATTGGGGAGCCAACCACTGAAAACCTCAAAAATGTTAATGTCTGAAATTTTTTTTTTTTTTTTAAGTAAACCTAATAAGTTGTAAGACAATGCAAACTAAGCCCACTAGCTGGAATTATAAGAAGTCAGATCAAACCCTTACTTTTTGTCTGCAGTATGGG